CAGAGAAAGGACATGCCTGGAAGGAAGTGCAACAAGTCTGATCTGTTGCTTTCTTTGCCCAGACAGATACGAACTCCAGTCACTTGTGTCCACTGCTTATGTCTTCTGCAAGATACCAGAATAGCCTTTCTACCCAGCTTGCTGGTCTGCAAGCCCCAGGTAACTGTATCTTGGCCTCAACCTTAAAGGAAATAGGAAATAAAGTTTTTTTTTCCTGAATAAAAAAAAATGCAAATTATTCTAATCCCATTACATATTATAGGTAGAAAAATTAATTTACAGAATGGAAGTTAAGAACTAATGGAAGGAAGACACAAATTAGAACAAGAACTAAAAGTAGCAGTCCTAAATGTAACATTCTGTATTTACAGAGATGTCAACATTCGTTGAGTTTCATCTATGGGTTTTTGCACCACTGCAAGCTTGTGCGAGACGAACCTAGAAAGAAAGAAATTAATCAGTACTCTGAGAGACACTTTTATATCCCACCACCACTTACAACTTCTGCCTGAAGTAGAAGACACTTTGTTTTGATTCAGTTTTTCAAAACATTGACAATAGTTCTTTTTCAAGAAGTGCATGGTTTATCCACAGTTTGTATTAAACTAGATACGATGTAAAGCTTCTCCCCCTCCTTCCCTTCTCAGTTCATGTTTCTTCTTGATCATAGTGACATGAGCCAAAATACAAGACAAGGGGGGGGAAAATAAGGAGTTTCTACTACAGCTCAACAGTCCAGTGACTAGTGACAGAGTGACAACACTGTCTTACAACTTCAGGTCATGATTGACAAAAACACATAGACTTACTGATAGCTTCTTCATAATTCCTTGGGCCTCCGGATTCAGATGAAGAAGATTCCTCCTGGTCAAATCACTTGCTGTTAAACGAATGCTCTGTGGAAAAAAAAAACCAAACCAAACCTTAGGTTTTCTGTTTGGTCAGCTCTAGTAGCCAGAAGCAGCAAAAAAATAAATAAAAAAAAAATCCAAGCATACTAGGAGACCACGTACAGGCAGAGAACTACATTCAGCTTAACCAGAAGCTCATCTCATACCTTCCTTGCAGTGCATTAACACATTACTGCCAGCAGAAGCTACTTTAAATGTTACTTAAACACACAGCAAAACATCATTCTACATTCTGCTCTGATCAGCTCCCACTTCTGACTAAAAATCTTTCAAGGCTCTTTTTAAGCTTGATCGATCCCCTGATAAACTGCAGTGGCACAACTAAAGAGACAAGAGTGGATGACTTGAAACCGGTTAAGGCCCCCAAGAAGTTACAAGCTATCCCTTCAGCAAAGATTTTACAGATTAAAGCTTCTGCTTTACCTCCCCTCCTCCAACAGGGACTGTAATGAAGATATCATTGCTGTCAGCAAGGGGACTGCCATTGGCAGAGATGGTGTAAACACGTTCATTTACTGCAGGTGTGCGCAAACCCGGCGTCTTGAAAATTCTGAAACGAAAGTTATAGGAAAGTAATTTCACTGCGATTGCTCAAAGCACTTTGACTAAAAGTCTTTCATTTCAGGTTCAAAGAGCCACTAGGATTGTGTTGCAAACAGATGACAGATACATACATAAAGCAAATGGCAAGGCACTCCCCTCTATCAGAGATTAACAGAATACAAACCTGGAATCAAATCTGGGTGTGACCATGGAGGTACCTCCCTGAGCACAGAGATCAACAATTCTACCAGTAGCTGGAGTGATAAAGTTGTTTTTGCTTGATCTGTTAAAGGGAAATAAACAAACATCTGCTCATAATAATACTTTTAACTAACACACAAGCACTATCTTGTCAAAGACTTGAATGAGGTTATTACCACAGAAAACCAGAGGTTCTTACTAATCAAAAGTAAACCCCAAAGCTAGGGACAGCTGGTCATCACAGGACAGGAAGTTGCTGATCTTTCATTTACTGTCAGATCACTGTTTTTTTCCTATAGCATGCCACAACTACATCAACCAGCCTACTAAACCATACGCCATTCCTTTTAAGAGTTATGTTAGCACTATACACTTATTCTCCATTTCTGAAATCCAGTGAAAAGGATATCCCCTATTACCTTTTACTCATGCGCTTCACTCTTGCTGAAGGAGCTCTTCTGCTCCTGGACACTGGCGCTTTTTTAGTGGATGCCTTCACCTGAAACACACATTACTCACCAAATCAGTTACTTCACTCTCGTGTGACAGCTGAGTCCACAACAAACAAATGCTTCCATACAAAACGTTTGGCTCAATAGGCTCCTTTTTATGGCACAAGAGTCCAGAAACAAACACCATACAAGCTTCTGTGACCTTCTCCTATCACTAGACGTTTCAGGAAGCGATACCTGTTTTGAAGTCCCCCTCAAAGTATCCTGGACAGCTATACTATCATAGGCATCATCTCAGTAAGTAGTTTATATCTTGGGAATAAAGTCATCACAAAGAACAGCTATTTACCTTTCCAGTTCTTGGATTAATGTTTTCAGCTTCTAGCTCTGGAAGACATTGGTTATCATGTTTTGCTTTCTTTGCTAGAGGAAGCAAAGGAGGCTCTGCTGCTTCTTCAATAGCTTCAATATCCTGCTTAGATTTTTCCACTAGAATGAGAAAGTGTTATCGAAGTTGAAAATAAATAACAACTTTACATTATCAGTTAGCAGTGGAGGTAAACAGTAAACAACCACAAGCACTTTTGGCAACAATTTGCTTCTGAAATCCAAATTCCAATGTAATCCAAATGGTTGACAGAACACTATTTTGATTGTTTTAATAAAATTAAGTCGAGCTACTGCAGATAGCAAGGACAAAAGTAGGATTATTTTCCTGTCTTTAAATATATTGAGGGCTGTAAGAACCAAGTTATTATTCACAGTATGTAAACTATGACGTGCTTTCATCTCACTGAAGTCATCACAATGCTTAAAACAAACTGACCTTTCTTGATGATTTTTAAAGGAGGCTGGATAACTTCTGCTGTTAACTTGTTTATTTCTGTTATTTCCAAGTCTGCCTAAAATTAAAAACAGTCACGACACCATTAGGATTATCAGTAGCATATAGTTCTGAGAAGTCCAAGTTGCAGAACAAATCCCTAATTATTTTATAGCAAGAATGCCTCCGTGTTCTCTGTTGTGCTCAAACTGGGACCTTCCATGTTATTCTGGAGGTGACCACAACGTGTGAGGCCTGCATGCCATTCAGGACTAACACGCCTTATTTGGCAGCTGCGAGTGTGCTTCACCTACGCCCTGCTGCTCAACCAATTCAGAAATGCTTTAATTTACCGAAAAGTGTGTGCGGTCTCAGGGATCTGGGAGTGAAATCAAGCAGGTAAGGAAAGACTGACAAGGAGCAGTATAAGCACACAAATTCTGTATTGGATACAACAGGCATCTCTTACCATTGAGTCTTAAAGCAGCGTTTGTAAAAGTATTTATGTAGCCTCTGCTATTGCAATGGTCCTACAGGCTCAAGAAACCCTTCATTTCCTACAGAGGTACACAACGCCATCAGGAGAGTTCAACATTTATGCTAGAAACCTACCGTTGCTGCCTCTTCCAACACCTTTTTGCTTCCTCCTTTAGCTAAAAAGAAAATATTTTAAAAAAATCAATACATATCTAAGACAGCCTGTACAGTATACATAGACACGCTTTGATACGTCACCACTAGGGTGCAAAAAGCCAGCACAAACCACTTTTCTTAGCAGCGAGTGAGCAGTCTCAGACAAAGAGAGCAGCGCTTCCAACGGTCCGCGGGCCGCCTGCCTGGGGCATTCCGGACAGGGAAGATTCGATTCCGGCTGCTCCTTTATTGCCCTTGGTGGTTTTTATTGTCTAAGGGAAAACGTGCCCCCGCCAGCCCAGTCCCGGCCCCGGTCCCGGTCCCGTCCCGTACCGAGGTAGTCGAGCCAGTTCATCTCGCGGAGCGCCACCGGCAGCCGCAGGATCTCGACGTTGTACAGGTTCTCCACCTCCTTGACCAGGCGCTGCCCGTTCGCCCGCAGCTGCTCGACCCGGCTCCTCACTGCGGGGACGCACACGGCTCGGTTACGGCTCCGGGACCCGCTCCCCACCACCCGCCCGC